GGGTGGATACATGAGCATTATATTCAACTTCACTCACAGGGTTTAACGTGAATTTATATGAACGATGTTATCGTGCCTATTTTGTTGTAAATTTCAGAAATTTTTTTAAACAAAAAAAAGTATAACAAATGCATTACGTATTTAATATATATATATATATATAGGTGCTTAACGAGCTTAGTTCAACCTTTTCCTTTGTATATTAGGGGCTATAAGGTTGATATTATTGAATGAATCATCCTTTCGAACTATCAGGTTTGGTCAAAAGCAAAAAAGGATACTTTTATAATTGTATAAATCAGTGTCTGTATCTTATGGTTGAAGACCTGATCAAAATATTTATTATGAAGATAATTTTTGATTAAGAAAACTTACTTTCAGAGTTTTAATAATTCAATAAATAAGTTACCAATGTCACGTGTTTTGGCTTCCGTCAAATTGATCAGAATAAATCTATACAATTGAATTTAACATCGAAAGAAATCGATTGAAATAATCAATTTTTAAAGTCCAACAGAATCAAGAGACATATCTAAGTAGTAAACGACTGACTTTTCTAACTCATCTTTTATAAAATGGATTATCCAAAATTGTAATTAAAAATCCGATCTTGCAAACGAAGTACCTCCAGTGTTTCCGAACTTTTGACTTCATCTCTTACTTATAAGTAGATCTCAATGAGGCCAGAAAAACTCTAAAAGTGTTCATAGTTTGACTCTTCGTTCCCCAAATATAGTCAATGTTATAATGAACAAAAAAAAAAGATATTTCTTTTTTTTAAATTATCGTTTATGTATCTATGTAATACATGACACTAAGAATATGTTGAATTATGAAATTCAAAAAGTATAATAATAAAGACCCAAATAAAATGAAACAATACGTAAACCAGACACAACTTAATGTTCTTAATAGTTCATGTCGAACAGATGAAAACATAACAACTTCGAATATTATAAACAGCAGACGGAATCAGGAGTTAAACACCTCTCTTTATTACGTAGATGAAAAAGGAAAAAGTTTTGACAATATTGAAGATTTTTAGAATCAGTCTATAGATTATGTAATATTTCACATTGATAGAAGCTTTTTCTATCACTAGTTCAATTATGTTAGGAAACTTAACAATTCAGATTGAATAAAATATTATCAAGAATAAATATGACTATCATACAATAATATTTTCTAAAACCAAGCAAATCTATATATCATTTATTTAACAAGGTCAATAGTACATACCACTGCTGGACTTCGAATAAAAGAATAAATAAGAAATGAATATCATTACGAAAATAATAAAATTTCAAAAAGACTATCGTCTTATCATGCTGATTTATTACAAAGCACTTCTAAACATTAACTGATTATGTTACAAAGTTATTAAACTTATTCCAACAGATATTTTCTCATATAACAGATTTAAAATAAAGTAGAGAAATAAATCATTTTCTTCGATGATATCAAATTATAAGACTTAATTGATCTTGTCTATTTTTAAGTAACATTTCTATCTTTTTGTTTCGAATATAAAATACTTCATTTGTGAACAAAAACTTGTCGATAATAACTAAGAATACATAAATAGAACTCTAAAGATAATAATATAAAACAAAAATAGTTAAAAAGAAGTGTAAGATTTTTTTATCAAATAAATAAGAAAACATATAGAATATATTACAAATCCTATTAATTAATTAATTAATTATCATTCGAAGAGTATTACTAATCCATCTTCAAACATTTAAATATATACCAAGTACAGCAAATATAAATGAAATAGTTGTTGGTAATAGATCAATAAGAATATCGAACTAGATAAATGAGATATACTTTGCAAAAATAGAATTTTTTCGGTATGAAACCAACACTTGTACTAATTGCAATAAAATTATATGAAAGGAAACAAAATACAATAGTTTAGTGATGAATTAAAAAAGAAAAACATAATACAGAATGATGTATGTAAAATGGCGGATAAAAGTTTCAAGTAATTGAATTTTCAAGTATTCCTCTCGATTGTAATAGTTAGAAAGAATCGGAAAAAAAAATAACATTTTAGTATTTAGAAGGACTCTCTATCAGAATGAATGAATCAATCTGAAAACTCTTACAAAATAGAATTTCTAGTCACTACCATTGAGAAAAAAAATCAAAATACAATAGTTCTTAATTTTTATTCACAACTATAGATGTCATTTAGAATCACAATGTATATAATAGAACAAGAAGAAAGGAAAATAGATCGATATAATCAATATTAAAACATATTTCTCTCTTCATTCATTCTCTTGATGATATTTATTTTATTTTTTCACTGATAGTAATGCATCAATTTCGTCGTTCAAAGTGTAGTTCTGCTATTAGATTTTGGAATTCTAATAATTTTTTTTTTGTGTTTCAATTCTTCTTCCGTTTTGGTAAATATAGTGTGCTGACTTGTAGGATAAAGAACGATCATTGGTGGACCTTTTTCTGTAAAGTAGGATCAGATATAGAGCGAAAAAAATTCTCTGTGCATTATCTAATATATTGATAAAATTGGTATTAATTTTGCTATCAAAATAAATTTCGTAGAGATCATATTATAGTGACTGATAAATTGAATACTTTTTTATTTGAAATATAGTTCTGTAATTCGACATAAATACAAGACAAAATAGAAATAAAATAAATGATTCATGAGATAACAAACGATTTATAATTGAAATTTTAATCATCGTTCATACAAAAGAACTAGAGAGGAAAAGAAGACATCATAATAATGTTCGATAACAAGCTCGATTTACTTTTGAATAATCTTTTTTTATTCATCGATTTGTGTCAAACTGATAGATCGGTTATATTTATCGATTTAGTACTGAAAATTTGCCGGATTTTACGAAGCGGACACTGTGATGATGTGATATATAATCATGAGCATTGAAAGACAGATTAGATATTGCAGTATTAGGTAGGAACAAGAGAGAAATTCTAGCCTGTAAAATGAGAAAACATTTTACTTGTCGTAAGAAGATGACAACATGTAGAGAAACAATATTTCTCATTTTCTTGATGATAACATGGGCATTACTTATTCATTAGAAGCTTTCTATACGATCTGTTAATGCTATCTAATAATCGTAAGAAGGTTTAAAAAGGAATATTCAACAAAGGCTATGATGACGCATCGATGGTATAAATCCATCATGATACTGCAAACCGCATATAAAAAGTGTTATTATTAAATTTCTCAAAGAAGAGAGAAAGACACATTCAACTAACTTCGCTTCGTCTGAGTTTCTATTATTCAACTATTTGAAAATATAGATTAAATATTAACTTAGATGCAATAAATTTAACTAAGCAATAGCCGAGCAATCAGTTTGACATATATCGATGAATACAAAAAAATTACTCAAAAGTAAATCGAGCTTGCCACCAAATATTGTTATGATGTCTTCTAACGTTTTTACTAGTTCTCAGAACTTATTGACCCTCCTATGTATATAAGCTGTTGATTCTTTAATGAAAAATGTTTGGAAAACAATCTTTTGTAAAGCAGAATCTATTATTGGAACTATCAGTTTTCTAAAAAGGGTTAATTAGTATTTCTAGAAATTACACACGAAATCAATTCTTGTCGAGTTATTTGTTTAAAATATATCACATCATAGAAATATAGCGGAAAAAAATAATTCAAAAAGTTTTTCTTACAGTTGATAAACGGTGAAGTTGTGCGCAGCAAACAATTATTTAATATTTTTGTATTATAATTACTAAAAGTCAACGTAACTTTTAATACACGATTGAAAAGATCAGGCGTTATACTACAAACGTCATTATTAAATATGTTTGTTTCATTGTCGTCTAATACAAAAAACAAATTTATAGAAATTAGAAAATGATGTTACTTGATGATGAAACTATAAGAAATGTTTAGCCTTTGAGCTTTTAACACTTCTTTTAGATTTGTTCTAGAAAAAAAATCTCTGCTACAAACTTTGTAGTTCACATATTACCCTTTCTAATAAGAAATAAATCGATTGGTTTTAGAAGTCAGCAAAGTTTAATAATTTTGGTAAAGACTTTTACAATATGTTGTTATTTCTATCCATCAAAGGCAAACATATTAATTATTGATGTGCTTATTAAAAAAATATCGTATACAGTTATATATTTTTTTCATTAAATTTATGATCAGTGACAATTTTATAATCGGAATTTGAATAATTATTTAATATTCATATTTACATTTTCCTCATCCATCTAATATGAAATCATCAATGATTGGATTTGTTTTTTCTTTGTGAAGTAATCAAACATCTTTGAGTTTTTATTTAATGAATACTAAAAATAATTTCAAAGAAGAAATACCGTTTGATTTTTATCACGTACAATGCCTGGAACATTTAAATTATATAATAAATTTGATTTGAATCTTACACATTCTATTTGATTAAATCTCAACGGCTTAATTATAATAGGATAGATCAAATTTGTACCGATTTAATCATTCTATTATGAAAACAACTTTATTATTTTTAGAACTTCAAGTTAAAATAAATACAGAATAAAGAAAAAAAGATGGAGTAAACAAAATTTTTGAAATATTAATTTAGTCAGTACGATAGACCAATATAACTTCAATCTCTTGTGAACATATAAAAGAAAATTCGAATTCTGTTTCACTCGTTTATTTCTTACATACTACTTTTTCGAATTCTTGAATGAAAGAAGTAGATAAAAAATATAATGAAATATCCAGATCAAGAACTTTGGACCGGTTCTGGCCACGGAATTTTCTCTTGCAAGTTTCTACCATTTTCTCGAATTCTTCGGCAGGTTGTCGCTGTAAACTCACAAGTTTAGGCGTCTGAATCATTGATCTAGATATAGGAAAATACAGAAATCATTTTGTTTTTTGTTGTAATGAAAACATCGAATACAAGTCATTTAAATATTTCATATTCTATGTTGAATAACATTAAATAAATAATAATTACATAATGATCTGTTGTTTATTATTCAATTGATTGTAAATCATATTCACTAGTGATAGCTTGAGTAATTGCTGCAACTTGATTACAACGTATTATTCTTCTACAATATATTCGCCAACATTTGTTTATAAAAACATGTTTAACTTGTCGACGAAATCGTGTTGATGATATTAAAAATAAATAAAAAGAACCCTAAAAATAATCGAAATAGATAATATAAATATATAAATTTAATATACCGAATAATTAAAATGAAATAATGAAAAAGCTACAGTTTCAATAAATTGTTCAATGGATTTACGAATCAAACTATCTTCGAACATAAACGTAATATATGTATAAATCCGTTGTAAAACATACGGTGATGTTGTAGTGACTAAAAATCCAACTCGAACAAGAATCATTGCTGTCAATTGTTGATCAAATTTTCGTCGACGTATTGGTATTTGACGTCGTACAATACGACGAACATTTCGATAAGCTAATACACTGAACAATGTCGAAATGATAATCGGTAATACACCAGTGAGTATAAGATAATAGAAATATGTAACATAATTTCTAAAATTTTGATTATATATATTACATCCATATTTTGATTGAATTTCAAAGAAGAACACAAATGGTACACCATGTAGAAACCAAATTATAGTTGCAATAGTAGTAAGACTTTTAGCTAATTTAATTGTACTTTTTTGTCTTAAAAATGGATAATAACTTGTTGATAAACATTGATCAATAGCAACAAAACAAATTATATTAAGTGAAATAAGGGTAAAAGATTGAGTTAATAATGGTCTTAATTTACACCAAATTAATGATGTCTGTGTTAAATCATTAGCAAATCCATTGACTGCCATACGAAATGTACATGATATCATCATTTGAAATAAATCAACGATTGATTCTGCAATAAGATAAAAAGTCGATGGATTTCTGTGAAAAATTTTAAGATGAGTTAATACGAAAATATTTGAAATATGTCCAAAAACACCCGAAAATAAAATAAGAAAACTAATATAGATTGTATATTGTTGAGAAACAACAATAATTAATTCTGCTGTTGATGATGATGATGATGACATGACAATTATAATGTCGATTGTCTTGTTACAAGTCCAATAAACAATGTCTTTCTTCCTTTTTTTTTCTCACTAATAAGAATTTCTTATTCGTTACAGAAAATAAAAATATCTATTGCAACAAAAAACTCTGAATTTTTTTTTCTCTCGGTTATAAAAACAATGAAAAGTTACATCAGTAAAAAATATTGATTGTTTATGACCGAACAAAATCTACAACGATTCGTTAATATTTATAAATTATAGTGTATGGAAAAAATAAAAAAACATGATATTTAAGCTGAATCTTCGTTCATCGTGAGCGACAAATAGTGCTATGATAAAAAGAAAAAATCGGTTCAATCAAATAGGCATAGCTTTTTAGTATTAATAGTAGAAGTTTATTCAAAGCTTTTTTCTTTTTTTCTCATACGAAAAAGATAAGCAAATACTACTATTAAGTATTATGAAAGTCATTTTACCTGTTATTAAGTAAGAAAAATACATGTATAACGTTTCATAGATAATATTCAATTGTTATCTAAAAGAATAATAATAAGAAATCAAAACAAACTATACCGATGTGCATAGAATAAGTTTTCAAAACTAGTTAGTTAGTTTAAAAGTCAGTGATAACATAATTTTGAATTTATTAAACATGGAGTAGTGATTTTTACAAGGAAACTGATGTCCAATAGACTGCAATAATACGTCTTACTAATAGGACACGAATTTCCGCATTTAAACTGACTACTAGTTTTGAAAACTTATTCTTTATACATCCATATAGCTCATTTTGACTTCTTCTTACTCTCTTAGATGACAACTGAAAAGTATCTCTGAAATGCTACACATGTTTTTTTTTCTTACTTGGCAGTAGATGAAATGTCTTTAGTAAGGCGGAAAATCGAACTTGAGAGTAGTATTTGTTTCTGTCATTTATATGAGAAAAAAAAACTTTCAATAAACTTTTACTAGAAATTAAAAGCTTAACTTATTCAAGCGAACTGAAACAGAGATTTAACAATTTCTTTTTTCGTAGCGTTGTTTATCATTTATCCTTTATATTAGATTACTAGTTGTTAAAAACAGTAGAGCTAAAATGATCGATGCCAATAACATGTTTAATGAACATACGTTTTAAAAGGTCACGTTCCTTTTGATTTTCTAATGACTTTTTATTTTCACTTGAACGGAAATAATATTTATATATATCGAAGATATTTTTGTCTCTCTAGTACTTCCATCGAATGCGAGCGATAAAAAGAAACGATTTCAACCATACATTAAATATGTAAATATAGATATTCTTTTATTCTTATAATTAAATATATTGAAATATCTTTGTTTATTTACAGTATTTCTAGCAGACCAAAATGATTCTATCTCAAACAGAATACGTTCAGAATATTCTTTATAAAGGTGATTTTAATTGCAAATTTGTGTCTTGATGATTATGAAAAATTATATATTCTTATTTATTATCATGGCATTAATGGAATTATTATGACTGATAAAGATATTGTCGATCTTAAGTAGTATTCTGCGTGAACGAAAACTATCATTACTTCATATACTAGCTTCTATCAACATCATATTTTACGCAATGTGAGATGATCTTAAATTAAAAATAACATTATTATTAGAGGTACATTTTAGTAAAATAAATCAATTATTATTCATACATAGAAATTTATTAATTTTAACTTAAGAGAATTATTTTCTTTATAAATTAAACAATTGAGAAAAGAAAAAAACAGGCTAGCATATCAATGAGACTGATGACAAATGAAAATATTCAAAAGAAGAAGATGATACTAATAATGCTATATGGGTTAGATAATTTGAAACATTTTTCTTTTAATCAATAAGTAATGTAAAATTCTTTGAAAGAATGGCGAAATGTATTTCTCAACAATGTAACATCGGATTAATTCCGACATCTTTTTTTTTTATTTCAAAGAGCAAAGTTCGGAGAATATTCATATTAATGTAAATAGGGGTGTGGGTGTGGATGTGACTTTAGAGAAGCCTACACTCACACCCTTCGCAGACAAACGAATCAGTTATTTAAATCATTTAACTACTTTATATTTTGTTTTTGAATTATTATCAAATCTTCTAAATAACTAGTTACATGATCATATCATACATTAATCAGTGAAGATGCAAATAAACATCGTATTGGCTATAATCTTTATTATAGCAAGATTTATCTATTATGTCCTTGATATGATTATGTTTAAAAATAAAAATGTACGTAAAATTAGTTTTAATCTTTTTTACGTCGTTTTTCTAACCCAAATACATCAATCTTACGGAAAGCATAAAAATGATGTTTTCATACGAATTAATAGGAAAGCTGATTTTTTGTATCTTCACTGACGTTGATGTATCTTGGTCAAAAAAAGCGTTGTAGAGAATTGTTTGCTCTATCAATTTGTGTGATTCAAAGAGGATTTTATTTGCAAATTCTAGGAGCAGAAAAATTTGACTTTTGATTTTTCAGAAATTCTATCCTTCGAAAATAAAATTCACTACACAAATCACTATTTGTATTCCTATTAACAATTATGATAGTGAGAAAAAAAATTGAAAATAAACCTGGATGAACAATTTTGAGAATCACTGTATGACTGAAGAATTCAAGATTTCGGAAAACTCGTATTTTCGAATTTTGTGCATACAGAGAACTCAATCAGAATAATTCCTATGAAAAAATTCAAAGGTTTTAAATAAAATCTTTTCGAGATACTAGACTTTTAAAATTTAGATTCTTGTTTATAGATAGTGTTTACAATATGCATTCTTTTTTATACGCACAAAGTTTCAGATAGTTCAGTTAAATCTCAATAAGAATCCAAATTCTTTTAGAATTTTTATTAGAATACTATGTAATATCTATAGATAAAATAAATCATTGAAATCGGAAGGAGACACGTGACGAGATTATCTCATTAATATTATAAATTACAGAGATAGCAACCAAAAATTTTTATAATTATTATGCAAGTAAAATGTTTTATATTTCTTTTTTTTTTTTTTTTTTTTTGAGATTATGATACAACTTTGAAAAGATCGTATTTCTTTTGTATTAGACTTTTAAAAATATAGACTATTATGAGAATATATTAATTTTTATGATTATAGATTTGTTCATTAGATATAATATTAACAAAATTGTTTTCGACAATTTAATGAAAATTATTTTGTAATGATGAATTTTATTGAAATCATTTTAAACACTTGTATATCCATTTATTTTAATTAATTGTGCCAAATTGAAAGCCAATTTAAGAGTTAAAATCTATTAATAATACATCGATTATATACAATTAATCATAAAAAATATCTTACCACAATACCAGCAAAAATACCAAATATAACTGCAAAGAATAAGAATAATTCAAACACAGTACTCATACTATTGTACTCTAAACTGATCATTATCATTAAATAGAAGAACCCACCAATAAAAAGAGATGTTACTATAAATAGAAGATCTCCAACCGATGCAAACTAAAATTTCAAAAGCAAAAAAAAAAACAAAATTATTTAAAAATCTAGTATAACATACAATCAAAATTCCAATTCGATAATATTTATAAATAACTAAAAGTCCAAATGTATAATAAAATGTTAAAATAAATAAAGGTATCGATGATTTGATTCTATTTGAAATATTATCTTCATTTTCTGTTATTACAGAATAAATAAACATAACAAGATTAATAAAGCATAAAATCTATATAAAACATTTTCATTATTAAAATTACATTAAAAAAAAAGAAAAATTTCTGATTAATTGTTTGTACTTACCCATTGAATGATAACAAGTATAAGAAGATACTTGCGAATTCGAAATAATTTCTTAATTGACACTTGTTCAGTATTTTCCTTTTCGTTTGTTAATGATATAGTTTCTGTCATAGACGACATTGTTGTATTATAACAAATCAATTTTTCTACACGGATGTTATTCTTAATATGTTACACAGGCATTTACTAAATGAAAGATGTTTCTTTATACAATCTAACTTTATTAATAATACATGTCACAGCTGTAACTGATATGAATTGCGTCTGTTTTTGTATCATTTAATATGGTTCCACTTTTCGAGAGTGATATACAAAAAAAGAAAATACTCAATTTTTCTTTCTGCTATGTCGTTTCATACAATTCGTTCTCTTATGAACCTACATGCATAATATTTTGTTTCCGTTAAGTGCTTTTCTTCTCCTCATTCAATTTTGCAAAAACAAATGCAATACAAAATAAATTTATAATTGAATAGTCTGATGTGTGTACGTTAAGAATTAGTATGATTTTGAAGTTTCTCCCATCGAAGAAAGTGAATTTTCATTAAAAAATCGTCATCTTTCGTAAGACAATCAGGTTTTTTTTAAAGATAAGACATTATTAGATAATCTACCGATTAGAGTGTGAGTATGTATTGATGCGAGTGGAAAGGTGTAGTCCTATTTAAACCCATATAATCATTACGTAAAAAAAATGCTTTCCAAAAATAAAATAAAATAAATATTGGTCTACCTCTAAATTCTACTTAATCAAGTTTCATGAGTATTATTAACTACGTAATACATTTGTGTCTATATCAGTTTAAATTTTATTGTTGTACAGCAAATATTTTAAAAACTAATTTTATGTTTGCCTCAGTCTTCAGCAGTTTTCTATCACAGTAGGAAATTAAGTTAGGTACTTTTTTTCAAGAAAAGGATCCTCGTCAAAAGAAAAATGTTTCTTTCTATTAAAATTTAGTTATTTTAATAAAAATTCTAAGTTTTATTGAAATGTTTTTGACTTCATTTCTGTCTCAGGACTAAAGAAAATCAAATCCATTGTCACGAGAGTCGCTATGCTTAAATATTGTCTAAAAAAGTTGACTTTTGCAGTCAAGATGGTCACATGCCGTTGGAGACGTCAAAATGAGTATCATACATATATCGATATTGTCTTAGCTTCCACCAAGAAAGAGATATAAAGCTGAATTTTTTCTTACAGCAATGTTCTTTTCCACTCGTAAATGTTAAATGAATAGCTTGCATAAGATCACAATAAAAATGATCAAATATAATCATTGACAAATATAGTAAATGATTTCTTCATATTGAGCCACAACTATTTTTCTTATTCTTTGAACATAGAAAATGCCAGATATTCAAAAAAAAAACAAAGTAAATTAATTCACGGAAGAATCTTTACTCCATGGAATTTATCATGTCATACATGTTTATTTTTAATATATCTTCGTTTTCAACAATCCATCAATTCACCTTAGAAAGATCAAGGTCTTATAAAAAAGAATTAAATAATAATCATCAAAAAGAAAAACAAAATTTTACAATTCCTATCTGAATAGAAAAAAAACCAACCTAATCAAATAAACCAAAAACAATAGAATGTTAAATTATTGACTGTTATAAACGACATAAATTTGATGTTTATATGAACTATTTAATATCTTTACCAAAATTCTGGATGATTACGAAGAGCATCAATCAAAGTTGTTGGTTCAAGACGTCGTTCACAAATTTCATGTACGGCCACAAATAATGGATAACTATTTAAAAAAAAATATACATGTATGTTTAATGACTTTCGATAGTCTGAAAAAAATCAGCGATAGAGACCTTTGTTCAAAGAAATTATCACTAAAAAACTCTACATTGAGGTAGCATTATTCTGTAGAAAAACTCCTGGTACTACAAAATCTCTAACCAAAGTTTTTTTTTTTCTAAACATGGCTTCAAACGATATAAATCCTTCTTCAGAATTTGATAGGATTTCTAAAAAACCTGTTTTTTTTTTCTTCGAAGTTCAATCTTACTGAAAATTCCATTTATAGATGTAGTTTGTACTATAGAATTTATCCTTAAGTTTTCGAATTTTTTCCTTGTATAGTTAGAAAAATATTCGTTAATTAGTTTTTCAACAAAAAGAACTTTTCAGAAAAATAACTCTTGTAAAAAAGAAAATATCAAAGGAAAGGTAGATATATGTAACTTTGTCTCAAAAAAATAATTCATATATAATATCATTTTAATTTATATCAAAATGAAAAATCTCACTGATTTGCTTGTCCTCTTTGTTTGAGCCATTGTTGAACTTCAGCTGCTGCATCAGGTCCTTGTAATTTTTGTCCATTAAGCATTTCTTCTTCAAGTATTTTAATATCTTTTCCTGTTTTAACAAATGCTGCAGCTACTTTACGATTACGACCACCATAACATGTTGTTACAAGATCAGCAACACCACATGATTCTAAAAATATATGTGGATGATGTCCTATAAATAAAAAGTATTTTATTAATTATTTTAATATAATATTTAATTTAAATCAAACCTGGAAAAAATTCTTCACAAAATTTTACCATTTCTTTTAAACCAAGACGAATAACAGCAGCTTTTGTATTATCACCATAACCTAATCCATCAGAAAATCCAGCAGCAACTGCAACAATATTTTTTAATGCACCAAGAACTTCAATAACTTCTGTATCTGGTTTAACAACAAGACGAAATTCATTTGTTTGAATAAGACTTTTAATTAATTGTCCATGTTCATAATTTCGTGAACCAATTGTTGCTTCACAAAATGATCCTCCTGCAACTTCACTTGCTATATTAGCTCCCATTAATACATAACAAGGTAATTCAAGTAATTGACTAATAACCGTTGAAAGAAGTTCAACACGTTTGTCTTGACTAACATAAAAACCCTAATAAATAAATAAATGACAAAAAAAATTATTGAATTGAATAAACAAAAAAAACATACTTTCGAAAAAGATACAGCAAATGCAGTTTTCTTTACACGTGATTTAATTGTATTACATACTCGTTCAACAAATTGATGTGGTATTACAAATAGTAATATATCAGCATCTTCTACAGCTTCAACAACATCAGAATAAGCAACCTGAATAAAATATAATTAACTTTTATTACAATTCGAGATATATAGAAGTTATGTATTGAAGATATATCTGACGATACACATAAATTAATAGAAAATTTTGTTTTTAAAAATAAATTATTTTAAAATCTCTCATAAATTTATAACAGTCAGATTATGAGTTCTACATTTCGGTTTCTAAGGAGGTTACACTAACAAGGTTTTTTTTTTTGTATCATTCAAACTCAATGATACTTATTAAAATATTTTACAAAAGTCAATTCTGTTTTCTTTAACATTTTCATCTTACAACATTCTGTGGCAATTTATGACCAGGTAAATACTTGATATTTTCATGTTCTTGATTAATAATTTCTGTAAGTTTTCGACCATTGATTATTTCTTCATAAACGTACATTCGAACTTCTTGTTCATATGTATTAAATTTAGCTATATTAGTTCCAACTATTTTAGCTATTGTTGAACCCCTAAATTAATAAAAATATAAATTCATATGATAATAATTTAAAAATATCTCAATACATACCAATTGCCACTGCCTACAATGGCAACACGTTTAAGTTGATCACTCATCTGAAATGAAAATTTAGAAAAGCATAAAAGAAAAAAAAAACTTAATTGTCATTGCAGCACATATATATTAATGGGAGAAAAATTTGTCCAATTGTAAATAATTATTTAAGAAAGAAGATAAACCAAAGATAAAGATGTGCCTCGAAATAGATAAATGATGCATCAAAGCAAACAAAAAAAAAATCGAGTAAAAAAAAAAACTATAAATGCTTCTTCTAAAAAAAAAACTCAATCTTTTTCTCGTACAGATGGTGCTGCGTGGCAGTGTCAATGCCTATATTGTTCAAGAAAATGAAAAACATAAAAAGTTTTTTAAAATCAAATGAATATATACTCAACATGTTTTGATTATTTTTTTTTTCGATGTAAAGGTCTTGTTTTTTTATAATTAGAATTCTTCTATGTTGCTTCTATTTGATGAATGAATCTAACAAATTTTTTTTTCGCCGGAAAAACAGGGTGTGGGTCTTCTCTAAAGTTACAGCCACACATACACCCAACTTCTTATAATTTGGAAATATTATCAAAAGAAAACTTCAAGATATGTTTGAATTGTTACTTTTATTTAAAAATTCTTTCTTATTTTTTTTTAGTTGCTGACAAAACATATTCGATAAGATCTTAGTTATAGTCATTAGATTTGAGGATAGCATACTGTCAATTTTTGGAAAGTGAAAATTTATTGAACGAAAAATAATCGAGAAATTCATAATAAAAAAAAATAAAATAAAAGCTTCAACTGAGATGAATAAATTAAAGTATTCCAAAAGAAAACGGAAGACGTCATTAACAAAATGCAGATCACTACAGAGAAGCATATGAAATAGAATTTCTTTTCACAATTAAAATTGTCAGATTCACGAATTTTCATGAAATTATATCAAAATAATTCTGATATAAATGTGAAAACAAGAAAAACAACTTCGAGAGTGCGAATGTGGATGTGGGTGAGTGTATGATAGAGTTCAAGAAGATTTAACCCAATACCCGTACCCATTCGTTATTTTTATTTTTTCTTCCTCTTTAAATCAATTGTTCTCAAGAAAGCTCGGTATTCACTTTACTTGTACATGGTACTAACCCAAAAAATTTTAAGTACTAGAAACAGTTTATAAGCTAATATTTTTTATTTTCCACACTGCTGTCGATTTTGTCAAAGAATTCTTTTTTTCATTTTTATTATAAATTTCTCGACTATTTTTCGCGTCGACCAATTTTCATAGACCCTCACACGCAGTCATCTATCCATTGATCTACACTAACGCATCCACCCATCCCTAATCATTTTTAGGTTTCGTAGACCAACACAGAAAAGTCTCATATGTTAGATGTAGACATAATTTGTGTTGGTCTGTTCATCGTATATGTTCGTAGGTGGTCACGTTTTTCACAAATACCCGTGCGGCTGTAAGCATGAGTGAATACCGC